GACACCTCCCCCTGATGCTAGGGCCCGGGGGACCCCTGAGGGATCACGGGGGACACAGCAGACACCATGCTCTGCGGTGCTCCCCACAGAACCTGGGGTGCGGTGCCGCGGTTCCCAAGCCCCTTCCCTCCGCAGTGTTCACCTTGTTTCCTCTCTTGCTCACGGCATCAACTGGGCTTTCTGCACGTGAGACAGGCTGTGTCTGACGACACAGACAGAAAAAGTGGTTGCACGAGGCTGCAGCACGTTTTAGAGACTGCAGATGCATTTCCTGAAATGCCCATCTAACGTTACTGGACGTGCCCCTTGTGTCCATCGGTAGCAGATGGGAAATGTGCTGACAGCGGGCTCGTCCGCCAAGGAAGGAAGCAGAGGTTAGGCTGCCAACACCAGTTCAGAGTTGGGGCACCTCCTGGGTCGATGACATGGGACACGGCAGACCCACAGGCACAGCAGGCCCCGCGCTGTGCACGTGGGGTGGTGCCGACTGCGGGTGGCGGGCTGAGCGGCACGGGGTGGCCCAGCTTCGCAGAACCTGAGTGTGGGCCAGGCCTCGGGGTCAGTAACGCACCTCTGGTTGGGGTGCCTGGAGAAGCATGTGGCTCCCACACCCTTCCCTGTGGGAACCTCCCAGACCAGACGGTCCCATCTGGGCAGACATTCCCCACGGGGCTTCGACACTGGTGAAATCACCAGTACCTAAAAGCTGGACTACACAGGCCATCTTCTGAGAAAATGAAAAGTACCAATAGACTCAAGTAGAAATAGGAAACCCAACTGGGTCCGTGCAGAGGGGCGGAAAAGTCAGCCACGTTTACCCTTCCAAGGGCACCATGCTCATGCCGGTGTGTGGCAGGCCCAGCCCTTAGGAATAATGTGCAGAGAGGGCCGGAGCCTCCTTCTGGGCCAGACTGAAGTGAAGATGTAGCTCATGGGAATGAGTTCAAAGATCACATCAGTGTTTGGGGAGGCCTGGACTGGGGAGGGGCTGCGATTCCTCCCTCAGAGCTCACAACAGCTGGAGATGGTGGTGTCCAGGCCAGCACCCACACACACACACACACACACATACACACACACACCTTGCCTTAAATAGAAGTACCAGCAGTCAGAGTCCAGTCTCCAGGAACAACATGCTGATGCTTTTTTTTGGGGGGGGGGTTCTTTTTGAGACAGGGTCTCACTATGCAGTTCAGGCTGGCCTTGAACTCACTTTGTAGCCCAGGCTGTTCTCGAACTCAGAAGGATCCTCCTGCCTCAGCCTCCCGAGTGCTGGGATTACAGGCGTGTGCCACCACACATGGCCTCAGCATGCTGATCTTAAGCACACAGGGGTGTGTCAACACGGGGCTCCTTCATACCATCACTGCATGACAAAGTCTGAAAGGGGGACCTGTGCATGTGTCAAAGACAATTCCCCCAAGCACTCAGGGTCAGCTCAGGGACTCTGGGGAATGCAGGACACGCCACACCTTCCCCTGTCTGCGTCCTTAGGGGTCCACCCTGCGTCTTCTGGATCTCAGGGGCCTCAGCTGGACGGAGGAGAGCAGACTGTGCCTGACTGCAGTTAGCGTGTGTGCTTGGTCCCCGCACTTGGCGGCCGCTCCTCCTGAGTCAGCAAATCTCCCGTGCTGCTCATGCTGCGGAGGAGGCTGGGCCGCGCGGCCGGCCTGCGTTTCCGTGAGGCTGACCTCCAGAGGAGCCGCAGGCCTTGGAACCAGCCCTCCAACGTAAACACACGCTGTGTAGGAAAGCACATTGCGCACTTTCTGACATTTGCCATTGTTTTGCTCCCAGAAAGCCCTGCGAGACTCCCACCTTCCATGGCCTGCTCGTCCCCGGAAACATGTGCCCAGACTCCAGCTGCGGAGTGCCCACTGGGAGGACAACCTGCCCTCTGCAGGGGCTGGCACAGCCTCGGGCTGTCCTGTCCTTCAGAGCCAAGTCAGGGGCCGTCACCCTCAGGGGTACTTGTGAAAACAGGCGCCTGTTCCCATTCTCACTAACTGACCTGGGGCCTCGGCTTCAGGACACAGCTGGGCACTGACAGCAAGGGGACCGCTGGGTGGCCACACCTCAGGGCCCACAGCGTCCCTCCGCACTGAAGGAAGGCGCCCTTCTGGCCCCAGGGGGTCAGGGTGAGGATGCCTGGATCCAGCACACCAGCAGGGGACGCCAGCCGGACCCAGTCCCACACAAGCACCCTGAGCCTGTCAGCTGCCCGTTGGCCAGCGGGTGGGCTGCCCAGTGGCACTTCCTCAGCTGGGGGGTGACCAGTGCCCAATCCTAGTCCCTGACGCAAGCTTGGAGGAGCAGGGCCACAGGCGCTGCGTCCCCTGCGCTGGCGCCCCCAGGACGGCCTCTGCCCCCGGGTCCCTGAGCTGGAGTGCACGGCCCACCCGCCCCCTCCACGGCTCCCACTGCCCAGCGCCTCTGCCAGCACCACTTCCTGTGACCCTGTGCCGAGTGTGTGCTGCGCCTCCACCTCCTTGTAACTCTGGTGTGGTACTTGACGTGACCAAGCTACCTCTCCACCCGCCACTTCCTGAGCTGACCTGAGACAGCCCATGCGCCCCCCCACTCCAGGGCCACCCCAAGTGTAGGTAAAACAAGACTCTGACCTGGGGGCAGGAACGGGCGGAGCCGTCCCCAGGCACAGAGCCCCAGTCCCAGCCCTCCGTCTGTCCCCTCCCCAAGAGGACCCCATGCCTGCCCCCACTGCAGCCCTGGGCCCTGGGGCCAGGTTCCAGAATCCTTCCTCCTCAGGACATGCCTGGTCCTCAGGGCTGCCCTGGCCAGCGTTCAGGGCACTGTCCCTGTGCCCAGGCCTCTGCTTGAGGGCTCTGCTTGTTCAGGTGGGGTGAGGCGCCTGGTGCTGCGCCTTGGACACCTGTGCAGACAGACGAGACTCCAGGGCCCAGGGGACCGCAGCACCGGTGTTGCCAGGTGCAGCCTGAGGACCCCTGAGTTGCTCCTTCCTGGGTCTCAGGGGTTCCTGTCCTTGGGAGCTGGGCCGGGTGGCAGCCAGTGGCATGGAGGCCAAGGCTGCGCTAGGTTCCTGGGGACAGGCGTGTGTGTATGAGTGTGTGTGTGAATGTGCGAGTGTGTGTGTGTGTGTGCGCGTGTGCACACACAAGCCTACACAGCTTCACTCCGTTACGCTGCCTCACGGAAAGGCCGCAGAGCTCAGCGGGAGAGGAGCCTCCTTCTGCCCTCTTGTGGTGGATCGGGGAGCCTGCCCTCAAATCACCCAGGCTGTGGGCCCCAGCGCGGCTACAGGTACCTGTGGGCACTGTGTCCTGCCCAGTGACTCAGGCACTCCTCCCAGGGCTGTCCTGCCACGGCCACAACCCAGGGGTTGATGGCCAGGGGCGTCCCAGAGCCAGACGGGAACCCCCCGGTGGGCTCTGCTGTCTCCAGAGCAGCCACTGAAGGGCCAGGGCAGGGGCAGAGCCTGCCCCGAACCACACCACCCTGCATGGATGCCCCTGACCGCTGCCCCTCAGGAGCGGGCACTGTGGCCACCCTGTTGTAAGCCAAGCATCTGCTTGAGACAGGGGTGGACCCCCGGTGGAGCTGGGGCAGGGACGGAGGCCTGTGTGCCAAGGCAAGCGCTGTGGTCCTGTTTGCCCCTGGTTTGGGGCTCTCCTTGGCTGGCTTCTATTGGGCAATGCCAGTGCACCAGTGCCAGGCAGCAGGAAGAGCACATCTCACAGCCCAGCACACTCAGATCTTAAAAGAGCAAGCACCTGGCTGGACATGGTGGTGCACGCCTGTAATCACAACACTCTAGGAGGCTGAGGCAGGAGGATCACAAGTTCAAGTTCAAGCCCAGCCTGGTCATTTTAGCAACTTAGCAAAACCCTGTCTTAAAATTTAAAAAAAATTAAAAAGGGCTGGGCTATAGCTCAGTGCAGAGACCCTGGGTTCAATCCCAGGACTTCCAATCACCAAAGGAAGCAAGATCCATCCCCAGAAATCTAGATGCCTCCTCTGCTGCCAGGTGGCAGTCAACACAGCCGAGCGGGGCTGCTGTCTCACAGCTGTGCACCCGGCCCTGGCTCCTGGGGGGACAGCCTCAGGGGAAGACACCTAGAAACGGCTCTGTGTTAAAGGGCTGTGCAAGCTCAACCCCAGGCTGCAAGATGGCCGCACGCAGAGGGGCCCCAGCGCGCTCACTCAGTCCAAGTGCCTGACTGACGCGGGGCCTCCCACTGTGCACCTGCGGGCTACAGCAGAGGCAGGTGCAGCCTGCAAGGGACCCACGTCCTTCCCCAGCCCCGGGGGAGCGAGTCTCCACCACCTGTGTCTCCAGGTCTCAGGTACATGCAGAGCACAGGTCATTGGTCGTCTCTTTAAAACACCGCGCCCCCGCCTTCCTGTGTCCCGACCAGAAGCACTGTGTCTTGCAGGTGGAGACCAGCCAGCTGCAGGCTTCCCCAGGGACCTGACCAGGCCACGCAGGGAACGTCAGGCGCTAATGTGGGTGTCCACGGTGTGGACAGCAACTGCTCAGAGCAAGCTCCTCACGGCACCATCTGCAGTCCACAGCCAGCCTCCTGCCCACGTAAGAGGTCGAGCGGCGGTCGGGGGTCGGGGGTGTCAGCTCCTGGATGGGTGTCTGGGCTGGGGACCCCGTGCCCAGAGCCGCGCGGGCGGGCTAGCGCCCGGAGCCCAGGCCGGGCAGACAAGGACGCTCTCCCCACGCCGCCCGCACCGCCCTCCCACGGCCGCAGCCGCACAGAGGCAGGGGGGCGGTCATCTCGGGCAGACGCGCACCCGCTGGGCGACGCTGCTCGCGCGGGCTACCCGGGTCACCGCGCAGCCCTGCCCGCGCCTCCCGGCCCCCCGGACCCGGCCCAACAGCCCGCGCCCGGGGTCACTGCGCTGGTGCCCGGAGGCGCGGAACCCCAAAGCCCGAGGACCGCGCACGCGCGCGCCGCAGCCTCCCCGCGTTGCCATGGCTACAGGCAACGCGCTCGCGGGGGCGGAACGAGTGCGCGCTTCCGGGACGGGCTCCGGGCCGCCGGAATTGCGTGGCCGCCAGGGCCATGGCGGCGCTCGCCGGCCTCTGTCTGCTGCTCCAGGCAGCGTCCTGGCCGCTGATCTCGGCCTCGGGCGAGGAGTTCTGGCCCGGCCAGTCGGCCGCCGACATCCTGTCGGGAGTGGCGTCCCGCAGACGGTAGGCGCGTCCCTGTGTCCACGCGCGCGCGACGGGGCCGGGGTGGGAGTCGGCGGGTTGGGGGGCTGGGGCTGGGGTCAGCGGGTGAAGGTCTGGCCTTCCCGCCGTCCCGTCCGCAGTGGGTGTGGCCCGACCTGCACCCCCACTTCGGCAGGTAGGGTCCTGGCAGATGGGGCCACGTGCCCGTGCCACGCGGGTCGTGGGGATAGAGATGCCGTGGCCAGTACCCAGGGCGGCTGCGGCAGGGTTGGCACGCAGGGCCACAGTGGGGCCGGCCTGATTCCCAGTGTGGGAGACCCCTGAATTGTCTGACCCTGACTCAGTCATTCCAGGACACCTCACCTATGATGTCGGGGCTGACGGCGCGCAGGACAGGAGAGCCCAGCTATTGCTGCTCCCCAAAGAAATCTGCAAAAATTAGTAACCTCACCAGTCACCTCACTGCTTACTTGATTTGAAACAGTTGACTTAAAAACCGCCTTGTTAACAAGTAATGAGTTTTTTCCCTGAATTTAAAAGTTTCTAGCTTTAACTGCTGACACAGGAACTATCGGTAGATTTACCTCGACTAAACCACTGCCCTTCAGGGCGCTGAGTAACTCCTGAGAGGGGTCTTTAGACCAGGCACTTGGAGGACCTTAAGAACAGTGATTCTGAGATTCCACTGGCGCTGCGCATTAACTGGCCTTGGGATGTCTGCTCCTTGTACCTGAGGGCTCTGCAAATAACTGCCACAAAGAAACACGGGCAGCTGCCTCACTGCGGGACAGACATAGCGGGAAGCAGGCGCTGTGAGTGAGGCCGCTGTCCTGTGCAGGGCCCGGGCCCAGGAACCACATCTGCCCCCTGTCCAGGTACCTCCTGTACGACGTCAACCCCCCAGAAGGCTTCAACCTCCGCAGGGATGTCTATATCCGTGTGGCCTCCCTGCTGAAGACCCTGCTGAAGACCGAGGAGTGGGTGCTCGTCCTGCCCCCGTGGGGCCGCCTCTATCACTGGCAGAGTCCCGACATCCACCAGGTCCGGATCCCGTGGTCTGAGTTTTTCGATCTTCCGAGTCTCAACAAGAACATCCCTGTCATTGAGTATGAGCAGTTCATTGCAGGTGAGGCCTCTGGGGGGGGGCGGCAGCAGAGACCCGGGGTCTGCTCCAGCGGGCTCCTCCACCCTGTCCACCAGCGTCACCTTCACACTGCTGCAGCGCCGCTCCTTCCGTTTCTCTGGGCAGATAGAGCTGAGTGTCCGGAAGCAGTGAGAGCTCGGTGTGCAAGCAGTGGCTGGGGTGCTGCCCCAGCGGGACGCGCCCTGCAAGGCCAAGAGGCCGTTCTGATGGGGCGGCCTCTGTAAAGCACCTTGTTTAGCTTCGTGCTGCTTTCTCCTTCCTTTCCATTTTTGTGACGGGAATAAAGCTTTACTGGCTTTGGTTGCACAGGGGAGGCCTGAACGAGCAGGACTGGCTCCTGCAGAGCCCTGGAGCGGCCTGGCGGCCTGTCTGTGTGCAGCGGCCGATGTGCGCGGCTTGCCGTCCTCTCCATGCGCGGTCTCCGCCCCTCTGGGCCTGGGCTCTCTGCGGTTGTTTCCAGTTCACGGTTTTGGCTGCCCCAGGGATCTCGTCACTGGGGACACTGGGGCTGCGAACGCTGGGAGAGCACCTTCTGATGTCCTCACTCAGGCTGGGATGCAGCTCTGAACCTCACGAGACTTGTTCTTGGCGTGCACCCCTCTTACCCAGCTTGTACATGGGCTCGTGTGTCCTGAAAAGGAGCTGTGGTTGGGTAGGCAGGCCGACTGGCCTCAGCCTCGGGAACACTCGGACCTTGGTTTGAATCACGGTCCTAAGGATCCAAGAATCTGTCCTGTCTTTGCCTCCCTGCAAGGCCTGGTTTCCTGAGAGTGGGAAAGAGGTGGTCTGGGTGCTCACCACGGCAGTGTGTAGAAGTGACAGGGCTGCCTTTCCCCTTGTCCTCACACCCCTCCGCCTGGAGCACATGGGGAAACAGTCTGTAGTGCAGGCTCCCAGGCAGGCACTGGCTTTCTCCCAACCCGAATTCAGCCGGCTGGGCCTCTGCTGAGCTCAGGTGGCCATGTGGGACGGCACTTTTGACAGGGGCCAGTGTGGTTCAGTGCCTTCCCCTCCTCTCAGCCCAAGGGGAGTGGGTCCTTGGGCCCCCAGCCCCGCAGCTGGTCCTGACGTGGCCCGAACCTCACTGGCCGTGGTTTCCCATAGCCGGCTGTGCTCACCCCTTCGCGGAAGGTCCTGACTGGCAGTCGGACGTGGCAGGCGGCTCCTCCGGTGTGGGTGGCAGCAGTGGGGAGGGGCACTAGGCCCTCTTGGAGGTCCTCTTCAGCGGTGGTTAGAAGTGGGATGGTAGTAGAGTGTGGGGGCACTGGGTGTTGGGCAGACGTGCAGGGGGGCAGCCCAGGAGCAGAGGAGGAGGTGCTCAGCAGAGGGCTGGGTCCGGGGCACCGGGTGCAGGGGAGTGAAGGGCACCGAGGAGGGGCCTGGAGAGACTAGGGCTGTGCTGATGGGCCCCTGCTGCCCTCCAGGGCCCCCGTGCAGAGGGCACTGACTGCCCCTGCTCCCCTAGTCCTCTTGGGAGCAGGCAGCCCTAGAGATCGTGCGTCTGTGTGACAGTTCCTGGTGGCCACGGTCGCACTGTTCCTCTGCTCTTCCCCAGAGTCTGGAGGGCCCTTCATCGACCAGGTGTACGTCCTGCAGGGTTATGCAGAAGGCTGGAAGGAGGGCACCTGGGAAGAGAAGGTGGACGCACGGCCCTGCATTGACCCACTGCTCTACTCCCAGGACAAGCATGAGTACTACAGGTAGCTCTGCGGGCTCAGGCTCCCCAAACTCAGCTCGCGCTGCTCACTGTCCTGAGGCCCAGGATGGTGGAGGCCACCTCATGCCGTGTCACAGATGAGGGGACTTGGTCTGTTGTTTTTTTTTTTTTTTTTGGTTTTGGTTTTTCTCCGGTACCGGGAACCAAACTCACGACCTTGCACTTGCCAGGCAGGCACTTTTGCTGCTGAGCTAAATCCCCAGCCCCTGACTTGGTCTGTTTTAAAGACCTCTGTCTAAGACACTCACCCGCTACCCCTTTTATTTTGCAGTGCTAGGGCTTGAACCCAAGGCCTGGGCTTGCTGGGCCAGTGCTCTGCCCCAGGGCTACCATCCCAGCCCTTTCGATCTTTTGAGACAGTGTCTCCCTAAGTTTCCCAGGCTGGGGTCCAACTTGCAGTCCTCCTGGCTCAGCCTCCCAAGTAGCTGGGATTACAGTATGTGCCACCACACTTAGCTTCGCCGCCACTTTCAATGCACTTGAGTGCAGCGTGAGGTTGGTGGTCTTGCTCATAATACCAGTCACTGCCTGAGGCCCTGGTCTCAGTTCACCTCCACAAGGACAGGTTGTGTCTCACCGCCTTGGTGGCAAGCACTTTGATGACCTGACCCGATGGGGAGAGGTGCTTTTCTGCTGGCGCTGAGGTGTGGGCTGAGCTGTCCTGCTCTTCCTCAGCTCCTGGGTGGTCTCTCAGTGCCCAGTCCAGAGTCACAGCTGTTTTCGCGAGAACATCCCTGTCCATGTGAGCTGCGCCTAGGGAAACCCGTGGGTTTTTTCCATCGCATCCACTCGGACGTGTCTGAGCTCCCTTGTCCTCCTGTGAGAGTCTGAGCTGATGGAGACTAATTCCTTCTTCCAGGGGCTGGTTCTGGGGCTACGAAGAAACCCGGGGCTTGAACGTCTCCTGCCTCTCCGTGCAAGGCTCAGCCTCTGTGGTGGCCCCTGTGCTGCTGAAGAACACGTCGGCCCGGTGAGTGCCCTGGGCCTCGTCCCTATGCTGGTTGCAGAACATCCCGGGAGCTGGAGGCAGCCGAGAGCTGGGGCCTGGCCAGCTGTGCGCATCAGGCCCAGCCCTGTGTGCAGGGCCCTCGGCCCCCCGGTCTGCTGGCTGAACCTCACTACCAGGTGGCGGGGGCAGGATGCACACCAGTCCCCTCCGTGTTCACCTTGAGATGACTGGGGCTGTGGGGCCAGCCAGGTGTGGGCAGGAAGAGCAGCCAGCAGCAGAGGAAAGAGGTGCCCAGCGAGAGGGTTGAGGCCAAGTGCAGGAGAGCGAAGGTCACCAGCCTGACTGGGGGGCTCTCGTGTCCCGAGCACTCAGGCAGCCTCGGTGTCAGAAAGTGCACAGTGGCTGCTTAGCCACAGCAGGGGAGGGCAGTCCCTCACGCTCACCACTGGGTGGCAGTGCAGCCCCGTGGGACTGGGAGTCTGTGACTCCAGGCTGGATGATGTCTCAGTGCTGTGTTCCTTGGATTTGCTGCAGGCTCCAAGTGACTGTGGGAACCTGAGGACCCTGGAGGCAGAAGCCCTTTCTGTTCCCACATCACTCTCCCTGGAGTCCCCCGCAGCAAGCCTTCCCATTGTCCAAACCAGGTTTTTTTTTTCTGGTACTGGCCATTGAACCCAGGGCCAGCTGTGGAGCTGTGGGGCATGCACAGTTGCTGTTCCATGTTTTCTGACTTGTGCCTCCAGGCTGGGGTGGAGCTCAGCCTGTGTGGAGCAAGGCTGGGAGCAGAGCCTCTGCTGGGCGGGGGCAGGAGGGGCTGTGGGGGCCACTGTCCCCCGACGCCTGAGGAAGCCCCAGGGTGGGTGGAAGGCCTAGGGCCTGCAGCCTTCACAGGACAGCTCTGCAACCTTAAACAGCACTGCAGAAAGACCAGCTGCCTTGGTTACGTTAAAATGGAGGACTTCCACCCACTGAAAGAAGAGCCAGCTTTGGAAGGAAGAGCCAGCTGTAGGTCAAAAAGGAACCCTGTCCACAGTGTAGACCAAGCTCCTCAAGGTCAGAAGCAAAGGGCAGGCAGCCTGTGACAAAGTGAGCCAAAGGCAGGAGAGGTGGCATTGGCAGCAGGCATGAAATATGCCTGGCCCGTGTAGGGGCGGCCCTGGCCCTGGCCCTGGCCCTGCTGGGAGGGCAGTGGCTGGACTATTCTGGGGCAGAGCTGGGCACAGCACTGCCATCTCCTACACATGCCACGTGTGCACCCAGACCTGGCTCAGCACATCAGTAGAAGCTGACCAGACACGCACACCCTCAGCAGAGACAAGGGGAGCGCAACCCATTCCAGAGCAAAACGTTATGGGCTGAGAAGACCACCCGGCTGTCACTGTAAAACACAGGAAACCGGTGCAGCTGGGCTTACACGTATGCACTGAAAGGCGGGCTCGGCAGGCAGAGAGGAAGCTGTGGGGGGCGCCTGACCCCTCCAGACCGTTGAAGCTACTTGTGCGGGCACTAGTCTTCGCCGCCCTGTTTCGGGTCACAGTGCGGGAAGCAGAGGTGAACCGCACCCTCCCAGCCTGCCTCCCAGCCAGCCGCCGCCTGTGCATGCCGTTCCCCTTCTCGAGCGAGGCAGACGCAGGCTCCCTGCTCCCTGCTCCCTGCTCCCTGCTGCCTGCGAGGTGCCTGCCTTCCCCACCTCCCTGGGGGGTGGCTCTGCACCAGTGCTAGGGAACTGAGCCTGCCCAGCTTGGTGGCCTTTGGCGGCTCTAGGTCTGTGCTGTCACACACAGGAGACACTGTGTAGGCACAGGAACGGGCCACACCCAGGGCCCACGTGACCGTGTGCGGGGCACGTCCTGTGGGGCCCGCAGAGCTGCTCTCAGGCACGCACTGGCTCTGAGACTCTGACCTGTGAGGCGGGGCTCCCTGGTTTCTTAGTCCGTGCCCCTCTGATTGTAGAGGAAGGGCACATTCAAAAGCTCTTTGGAATGTTAATTCCGTAAAGCACCAACTCAGACTTGTACCAGTTTTTTCTTTATACAGATACAAGCTTTTTATGTAGTTAAATAGATCATCCTGTTTCTTACAGGCTTCGGGGTCTTTTAAGTCCTCCTGCTCCTTTCAGGTCTCAAGTCTTTCCAGTTCTTCTAGATCAGGGATGACAAACCTTTCAGTGACCAAGTGCCCAGACTGCAACCCAGAACCCACTTATTTATTGCAAAGTGCCAACACTGCAATTAAACCTCAATACTGAGGTTTTAGTTTAGAAAAAACAAACACTTGGCTTGTGTGCTGACAGAGGGCTTTGCATGCCTGCTGTGACACACATGCCATAGGTTCGCCACCACTGTTGTCTGATTGCAGCTTTTGTGCTGGGCTCAGGGCTGCTAAAACTTACCTGTGGTAAGAGTGAAGGCTGGATGCCATGGCCACCTTTCTAGCTGCTGTCTGGACAGGAGCTGGGCATTGGTGGCACCAGGCCCTGCCTGGTGTGGGAGGTGCCGGTGGAGGAATCACTGGAAGCAGGGTGCTAGCATGAGCCCAAGACATATGCCCAGGAGAGGGAGGCCGTCTCCCTGTGCAGAGGTGGCCTCATCACAAGTGTAAGCATGAGCTCTTATGCTCTGTGGTGTCTGCCGTGCTGTCCCTGTTAACATAAGTGGTGCCTTTTCTAATGTTCAACCATCTCTGTACTGTGGAAAGAATTCCCGAGTCATGTGTGCTCTGTTAATTTGTTTCCTTTTTCTTTCTGTCCCTCCACTGCCTCTTGGTCTCCCCGACGTGCCCAGGCATACCCGCTTTGCTCCCCTGCAGACTTTCTTTCAGGTTTCCCTGGCCCTGCGTTCTCCTTCCAGGGCTCCCAGAGGGGGTGGATAGAATCACGTTTAACTGTGACAGTCCTTAAACTCTTTTTAGGTCTGTGATGTTGGACAGAGCTGAAAACCTGCTTCACGACCACTATGGAGGAAAAGAATACTGGGATGTGAGTGTTCCCTAAGGACTGCCTTTCTCCTTTGTCCCTGCTGTGTGGACGTGTGCAGTTTCTGGACGTCTGAAACAGCAGCTTTTCCTTCTGCTGTGGCTGAGGTGACAGAGCTCTCGGGAGCCCCAGGCTGTGGGGCTGTGGGAGCTGCGCTGGGCTGCAGCTCCCCTTCCCTGGGAGTGGAGGTTCTGTGTGGGCAGCTGTGCGGCAGGGCGTGGACCCCACCATGGGCTCAGGGCAGTGGCCCTTGCCTGCTGAGGGGCGGTCAGCCCTGGAGCCGTCTTCCTGCCTCCGTCAGTGGAGAGAGCCTAGAGCTTTCTGCTTATCCCTCTGTAGCCGGGCAAGGTGGGCTGTGAGCTGCAGTAAGCCCTTAGCACTGGGATCGATTCTGCTGGAGGGTGCCCTGGGTGACAGCTGCCGACACCACAGCCTGAATGGTTGGTTTGGCCAGAACAGCCTCTGAGGAGCTTTTGGCCGTGGCTGTAGCTCTTAAGGCAGGTGTCAGCTTGGGAAAGGTGATGCAGTGGCTCAGTTTGGCCAAGATAGGAAGACGCTGGGAGCCAGGCGGGCCTGAGGTGGAGAGTGGCACACGGGCTGTCAGGAGCCCCCAGGTGACCTGGGGCTGGGCAGCTGCACTTGATGCAGTCCTACTTGGAGCTCTTCCTGGTGCCAGGCAGCAGTGCTGCTGAGGCTGAGCGGGAGCCGAGGGTAGTGTCCAGCCCGGGGCTGAACAGGCAGGAGGAGACCACGGGCCCGGCCAGAGGGCTGAGCAGCCTTGTCCTCAGTGGCCGGTTCCTGTGCAGATGGTCCAGGCAGCACCGGGTGAGGTGGTGGCCCACACGCCTGTGTTCAGGCCAGCACCACGCCCAGCCAGACCCCTCTCTGCAGACCCGGCGGAGTATGGTGTTTGCCAAGCACCTGCGGGTGGCGGGAGACGAGTTTCGGAGCAAGTTCCTCAACTCCAGTGACGCTGTGGACGGTGCCCCCATGGAAGAGGACTGGACAAAGCTGAAGGTAGTGAGTTTGCGTGTGTGTGTGTGTGTGTGTGTGTGTGTGTCCCCGCGCCCAAAGCCCTGAAGAGTCAAGAGTAGGTCTTGCACATCATCCTTCGCCTCTTTCGGGGATGCTTCACTGGGTCCCAGATGCAAATCAGGGTAGTGACTGGCCTCCCCAAGTGCCTTGGCATGCCTTCTCTCAGCCTGTCTTGGGCAGAAGCAGGGAACACACCTCACACAGCGCTCTCTTGAGTAAAGTGAGGACATTACTGCAGGCCCCCAGCCCGCAGGGTTCTTAGCATTCAGTGAGGTTTTTAAAAACATGCAGGCCGATGTCAAGGGTGGCAGACAGAGTCGCTCTGTGCTCCTCGTGAGGCAGGAAGGGTTGTGGGAGCAGCAACAGCACTGCTGGGTCCAGCGACATCCTTTTACATTTTTACAAGTGGTTCTTAACATTTACTGGCAGTCTGAGTTTCCCCATGGTGTAGTTTCACACTGATGCTGTCACTTCTGGTGCCTTTTGCTCGTGTTTTATAGCAGACCCTGTGTTCTCCTGGACGTCTGGGCTGTTTCCAGAAGGCACTGCTGGAGTAGTCCTAGTCCTGTGCTTGGATAGTCCTTACTGGGAAGCAAGCCTTCGATAGGAAGTATTTGCCCTAAGAGTTCCATTCAGCATTTTTATTTCACTCAGACAGTAGGATGTATGGTAATTAACCACTTTTGGAAAGCCATCCTGCTGCCCCAGATTCTGGAGGGGAACACTCATCCCCTCCCCATCCTGAGATGCCAGGGCACAGTACCTCTCGCCTTCATCCTTTGCTAGGTCAAGCTGGGCTCCTCACTCGGAGGTCCATACCTCGCCGTCCACCTGCGGAGGAAGGACTTTATCTGGGGCCACAGGGACGACGTGCCCAGCCTGGAGGGTGCTGCCAGGAAGATCCGTAGCCTCATGACGGTGCACCAGCTGCCCAGGGTGTTCGTGGCCACAGATGCCATCAGGAAGGGTAGGGGGGTTTGAACGGTGACTTTGTTTTCGTCCCTTTAGCCCCTGGTTAAACGCTGGGCAGACCTGGCACACATCATCATCCTGTTAGTTCCTGAGGGCAGAGCGAGGCCGTGTCCTCACCTCTTACCACCTGCTGGAGTTGCAGACAACCCTGCCCAGATGCATCTGTGCACACCCACGCACCCTGCGTCAGTGCCTCTTCTCTGCCCTGCAGAACAGGAAGACCTGAAGAGGCTGCTGCCTGAGATGGTGAGGTTTGAACCCACCTGGGAGGAGCTGGAGCTGTACAAGGATGGCGGCGTCGCCATCATCGATCAGTGGATTTGCGCACACGCCAGGTGCTGACCTACCCTCTTGCTTGGGGGGCGCTTTCACAGGGTGCTCGTGATCGGCACAGACGTCATTTCCACGCACCCTTTGCTAGTTTCCTCACCAGTCATGGGTCTCACTGCCTTCCTGAGTCTTGCAGTGTTCAGCTCAGGCCTCTCCTCTCCTATCACCTTCCCATCACCCTGGGCCCTGCCCTGGTAGTCGCCAGTCCCCGGGGTGGCTGGCATCCTGAGGACACAGCGGGGAGTGTGGGGACCTGTGCTGGGGTCCCAGGCTCTCGGAGGGAGGCCCAGCCTTGGTGACCATTTGTAGGAGACCAGGGATGGCACTGGCAGGTTTAAGTCGGAAGGAAACTCAGAAGGGTGAATGTGGTCACTGCTGGGTGGGCACAGGCATGTGTGCATGCTGGTCTTCAGGCCCCAGCCTGAGGAGGGCTCCCCTGGCTCTGTCACTTCTGGGCACTGAGGCTGCTAGCGCTGCCCCCAGCAGCAGGGCCCTTTCGCAGGAGGCAGGCACTTTCTCCTCAGGGCCTGCTGTGTGTGGTGCACAGGGGCTGGCAGTGTCCATTGGCCTGAACGCTGCTCTGGGGAACTTGGAGCTTGCACTTCCCCTCCGCCCTTGGGGTCTTCAGGAAGCTCCATAGCCTCCACATGAGGTGTCGCAGGTGAAAGAGCACCTGCAGCTCCAGGCAGTCACATCCACTGCTGAGCCCGCAGCCGTGCTGCGGAAAGGTCTCGGGTGGACTGGCAGGGCTGTCAGAGGTGAGGACCAGTGCACACCAGGTCAGAGTGGCTCAGCTGCAGACACTAGCGGACCTGCAGCAGGCGCCCCGTTGCCCCAAGCCATGTGTCCATCTTCACCTAGCGGGGCCTGCAGTGGCAGTGGGGTAGGACTGAGGTGCCGGCAGAGCCCCCGGGTGCAGGTGTCAAGGGCCCCTACCTGCCTCACGAGACGCTCCAGCAGCTGCTGGCCATGACTACAAGAACCTCTTACGCTGCTCTGCAGGTTTTTCATCGGCACATCGGTTTCCACATTTTCTTTTCGGATTCATGAGGAAAGAGAAATCTTGGGGTTTGATCCCAAGACAACATACAACCGGTTTTGTGGTGACCAGGAGAAAGCGTGTGAGCAGCCTACCCACTGGAAGATCGCATACTGAGGGCGCCCGTGTGCATCAGCTGCCGGGAACAAGCGCAGAGGCGCCCCACTCGCGGGCATGACACGTCCAGGTGGTGCCCTGGCCCAGCGCGTCCTTCACCTAAGGTCACGTCTTAGCTGTGTGCTGACTACAAAATGCAGGAGCCTCTCAGCCCGTTGTGGGTGGGATGAGGATGGTGACAGTGGCCACCCTCGCAGGTGGCTGCAGAGTTGAGGGCGACCTCAGAGTGTGCAGCTCTGCTATCTCCTGGGGTGACGATGTGAGGCTTGGCCACCCTATACTCGGCAAGCACCAGGGAGAGAGAGGTGACAGGCCTCTCACACCCTCCTCTGTCCACACGGGAAACACGGTGTCAACTCCACTGGGGGACACAGTGGGCTTCCAGGCCCCCTGCTAACTGCCAAGAAGTGAGAAGCGATAGTCAAACCAACTTTGGAGGCTGCGTCAGAGATTACCTGCTTCACCAGTAGCTTTGTCCCAGCTCACAAGACTCCTCTTCCAGTGTTCACTGCCGCCGGTAAGGATACTTGCAGGCCGCTGAAGTACAGTGGGCAGGGCCGGGGCAGCCTCGGGCCTGTGGTCACTATGCCCCTGCAGGACTTCACTGTGGTGTAATGCACTGCACAGCCACTTCCTGGCCCACTGGTGACACAGTAGCACCCACGCCTTCCCTGTGCAGAGCTGGTGAACCCTTGTGTCCCCTCCCCAAGCACCGGCAGGACCTCCAAGTAGGTCACTTAGGCTGCCAGGTGGAGTGATCACTATTTATTCTTTTCCATTTGTACATTCAAATATTAATGAAATAAATTTTCTAGAAAGCTGTAATCCTGAAAATGGTGCCTTCCTCACACCTGGAACTTTGTAGGCTGGGAACTTCTGTGGGCATTTGGGAGTATATTGTGATACACATCTTTTTTTGGGAACCAAGAGTGGAACTCAGGACCTTGCGCTTGCCAGGCAGGCACTTGTGCTGCTGAGCTATCTCCCCAGCTTGGGACTATATTGTGCCCCTGTAAGAAGAGTAAACTGGTCTGTGGTACTCGATGTGGAGCGTGGTGTCACTGCCACACAGCAGGATGGGTGACCTCAGGGTGCCCAGAAGCAGATGGCAGTCAGACTGGCAGGGCAAGGGTGACTAACCTGTGGATAGTGCAGGCCTAGGTCCCTATTGGGACACTGTGTGGCTCAGGCCTGCTTCTCGGGGACAGCAGGCCCTTGTCACTATCCATAGCACCCAGTGCTCTGTTCATCGTCTGCCAGGAGGGCTGTTGAGGGGCAAGGACATCACAATTGTAGGAAACTGAAAATGACCCATTTTGCAGACAGTGGAAAGAACAGTGTAGCCCATGTGAGCAGCATCCTCAGAAAAGACACAGCAGGAATGTGCTAGGTGGTGGCAAAGGCTCCAGGAACCAGGGTAAGGCCTGCGGCTGGTCAAGGAGGGTGAGGCAGGGGCAGCAGTCAGGGTCACCACAGGGCTGAGGGGGCTGTGTGGCCACAATCCGCAGCCCCCCTATAGGGTCCAGAGGACACAGGTCAGATGAGAGTGCCGAAAACTTCAGCTGTGTTGACCTGTTTATCTGAGAGAACAGAAGACCATGCATGAGGTGAGGCACAGGGAACCCAGGAGCCCAAGCTGCGTGTTAGGAGGGGCTGGGTGTCCCTAGGCATGACTGAGGGCTGATGTTCCCAGCTGCACAGGACGTGAGTCCTGGTGTCTGTAGACACCGGATGGTGCTGGTACCCATGCCCACTGCACTGAGGTTAGGGGGAAGGGCTAGCGGTCTGGGGTTGAGGACTATAGGCCCACAAAGGCAAGATGGCCAGGTCAGGCCTCTGCCAGGTGTGCCTCTTGCTGGCAGGGGGTGGGTGTAACAGCACAGTCCCATTCTGGAGGTTAGGACCTCAACATGGGATGCAGGGATGCCCTTCTCGGACCCTGTGTAGCCCCCCAGCCTCGCTCCACAGAGGGACCCATTTCCCGTTACACACACTGAGGGCAGCCCAGCCCAGGGCACCAGGGCCTGAGGTGTGACGCTCAAGCCACTCACAGAGTAGGCAACAGGACACAAGGCAGGAGGGTGTGTGAGAGGACAGGTGAGAGGCAAGCCTCACTGCTGCACCAGCTGTCCTTCCTCCCACTTGGCAGGGTCCACGGGAGGCCCAGCTGGGTACAGCCACCTGATGACTCACCTCACAGGGAAGCAGCGCCAGGCACAATCTGCCTGCAGGCTACAGCCCATTACTCTTGCCACTCGGGCCAACAGAGGCTGCAGACAAGGGAAGGAAATGGCCTGTGACAAATTCCACCCTTGTTCCTAACAGAGGTGTCTTCAGGACAGACCCAGTGGGGATGGGGGACCCAGCTGTGAGAGCCGAGGACACCACAAAGCCCTCGACATCCCCTACCTGCCCAGACCAAGCAGCCCACCTCTGCCTGGGCACAGGATATATGGATGCTATGGTTTGTGTCTGCATGTCCCCCAATGCCTCATGCAGTCACGGGACGGGCTTCTAGAGTTTATGATTGATCCATGGTCCAATGTTGGGATTATGGGTGTGAGTGCTACACCTGCCCGGGGGCGGGTAGTTTGCATACAGTGTAAGGGAGGGAAAGAGGCTGCTTGCTGTTGCTCCTCCTTTTTTTGCTCTTGTTGCTCCTCCTTTTTTTGCTCTTGTTGCTCCTCCTTTTTTGCTCTTGTTGCTTTTGCTGTCTTCTGCTGCTACGAACTGTTGCCTTCTGCCACGTGCCACTCTGCCTTGGAGCCAGCTGAGTAAGGCAAGCCAAAGTAAGGCAAACCTCCACAAACTGTGAGCTAAGTAAACCTTTCCTCTTTAATTTGGGTGTTGGACATTTTGTCTCAGCAATGAGAGAAAAGTAACTAAGACAATGGGACACAAGCCTCAGCCCAAAGTAGGGGGACAAAAAAAAAATTCTCTAAGAATTTCTAACCACAAGTCACAAATACACACACACACACACACACACACACACACACACACACACACACACACACAAATTCCCAAGCAGGCTGCTTCAGGTGCTGGAAGAAGCAAACAGCCCCTGATGGGTCTGCCCTCAAGTGCCTCGGAGAACGCCACTACAGGTACCTGGTCCTACTCCAAGGTCTCCACAACACAGGGAAGCAGGCACTGTGTGCAGTATTAGCAAGAATAACACCCACAGCCCTGCTGAAGGCCACTCCCTCAACCTGAAGTCTCTGATTGATACGTTTATAGAGATAACCAAGAGTCCTGGAGTGTGATGAAGGGACAAGATATTGTCAGAAACTTCGCGCAAGCTGGGTGCAATAATACACACCCAGAATCAGCTTCTTGGGAGGCTGAAGAAGGGGACTGCAGTTTGATGACAGCTTGGGCAGCTCAGTGAGATCTCGTCTTAAAATTAAAAAGGGCTCAGGATATAGCTCAGTGGTACATCCTAGTGTGTGCAAGATGCTGGTTTAATAACACCCCGCAAAAAAACCAACATCTAAAAATGAAAACAGCAAGTGAACATAGAATCGTAATAGTTCAACAGCAAATGTGGCACCTAAGAAAGAGTTAGGGTTAGTGGGCCGAATGAGGTCTGATCACAGCACAGGAAGGACACAGGACAGAAAGCCAGGCAAGGACGGTGTGGAGGACGTGGAATGAGCAGGCCAGGGCTCTTCTAGGTGGTATTCCAGAGAGAGGACAGGATGCAGGAGTCACTCTTGGAGATGCTGAGGAGTTCTGTATCACCAAAACTGTCCTTCAAGGACAAAAGCAAAATGAAGGTCCAACCAAAATGGTGCCTTGTCACTAGGCAAATCCAGTAGAGCGTAAGAGTCACATAAACTGTGTGGAGATCAGAATTTGAGTATTCTAAGTTTCTGATGTTCTGAGAGGGGAAAATGTACACTTATTGTAGATTTTCCTGACTAGATACACATTTGCAATACAGAAAAGGTCATGGAGAGCTGGAAAACAAGTAGTGGAAAAGGGAGAAGGACAAAGAGGATTTTAAGTGCATGTCACTAAACAGAAAGGAAGACAAGAAAAGCCAACAAGGAGATGAATTTAAAGCATGTGTGCCTCTGACATGCAGTTTGTTGTGAGTCTTCCCATTCTTTGTGTACAACTAAAAATCCCAGCAACGACAGTATTTTCTTATATCAATTGCAAGACACACCCAGATTCACATATTTTAAAGTGAGTATATGTATCTTAAAATTGATAAATCAAAGTAATATGGGAAAATGAAATCCATGAGGTGGTTGAGGAACTAGATTACACATGAAAATGAACTAAATTTCCCTATTAACACAAACAGTGATGGACTTGATAGTTTATAAGTACATTGAGTGCACTTGTACAAACTTATACACTCACATCACCACGTAGTGCAATCCTAGGGACCAACATCTAGACATCTGGTCTACTGCTGCTACGTGACAGGATACTCAAGGAAAAGGCTTCCCAGAACTAGGAAAAGGGACAGCCAACCAGAGCCCTGCTAAACCAGTGCCATCCACAGCCTTGGAGGAGGGCATCGACTTCACACTAGAGGGAAATTGCTCAGTTTTGTACAGAGTAGTTCCATGCCCTGAAAATCTGTGCTTTGCGTACCCGTCTTTACACTCTCCAACTCCTGGCTCCCACTGATCTTTTTGCTATTTCCATAGTTTTGCCTTTTCCAAAATGGCTTCTTTCACTCAGTCGTAGACATGTAAGATTCTTCCCTGCCTTTCTGTGTCCTGACAGCTCATTTCTTTTTAGCAGTGATTAATATTCTAGTGCCTGGATATACTAGTTTATTTACTTACCTACCTGCTGAAGGGCATCTCAGCTGCTTCTAGGTTTTGACAACTATGAAGCTGCCATGAACATCCAAGAGCAGGTTTTGTGTGGACAAACATTTCCCACTCCTCTGGGTAAGCTGCCAAGGGTGTGATCACTGGGTCATATCAGAAGACTATGGTTTGTAAGAACCTGCCACACTGTCTGCTCAAGGGACTACGTCATTCTGCATTCCCACCAGCAGTAAGTGTGAGCTTTCACTGCTCCACACTGTCACTAGCATTTTGTGTTGTCACATCTCATAACTGGCATCTCATTGTTAGTGTAGTTTGCATTTCCCTGATGACATCATGTGAAGCATCTTTTCATTCACTTACCTGCATCTGTACATCTTTGGTGAGGCTGATGTTCAATGCCTTGCTCATTTTTAAATGAAACTATTTTTTTTTTCTTATTGTGAAAGAGTTCTCTGAATATTTTGGATAACAGTGCTCCATCAGGTATGTCTTTTATATTTTCTCCCAGCCTGTGGCATTTATTCTCTTGCCATTGCCTTTTGGTTTTGTTTATTTTTATGGTGCCAGGGGTTGAACCCAGGGCCTTATACATGTGAGTCAAGTGCTCTGCCACTGAGCTACACTTCGGTCCTTGCCATTCTCACAGAGCAGAACTTTTTAATTTCTGTGAAGTTGAGCTGATGAATTATCTTCTTCTTGAATGATGTCTTTGGTATTATCTAAAAAGTCAGTGCCAAACCCAAAGTAATGTGGGTTCCTCCTACATTATCTTCTAGGAGTTTTAAGAGTTTTGTATTTTACACTTAGGTCTATGATCCACTTTGTGTTAATTTTTGTGAAGGAGTTATGGTTCATGTCTATTTTTTTTTACATGCAGATATTCAGTTGTTCAAGCACCTTTTTTAAAAAAAAGACTATCTTTGCTCCATTGTGTGCCTTTGTTCCTTCATCAGTGATCAGTTGACCATATCTGTGAATCTATTAGGGTTATTTTCTTCCACTGATATATTTTTTGCTTTTACCAACATCACAACAGGGGACCCGTCTACTTGTACTAAGCTGCTCATCCCAGACCTCCTCCTATACTAGGTCTTCTCTGGGGGTCCCTCACCTTCATTCTCAGCAGCTTATATCCAGGGCGGCTTCTAGTCCTCCAGGCAGGTACTCAGCATGTTTAGCTCTGCTCAGGAGATGCTGGTGGCCCATCTGTCTGCCACTTCTACTCTTGCTGCGCTTTCTTCTTCCAGTCCAAACACCATCCCAGCCAAGACTCAATGTGAGTCCCACCTGTGTTCTCTGATGCCCAAGTAAGAAAGATAGCTAGCTGGTCTTTCTTATTTTGCAGCGAAGACTGGCCAAGGCACAGAGCAGCTTTTGGGGGACAAAGACTAGAGCCTAACTCCCCTGGCCCCCTGATTAGGGCCATCCCATTGTCTCCATTTCCCTTTACACTCAGGGCAGGTTTCCTTTCAATGGGCCTCCCCTTTCTACTAAACTGTTTCAATGTCCTGAAGCGCTGTAGCCTTCCAAGAGGCCAGGAATTTCTGCCATGATACTATTGGCCTTGTGATGCACAGTGTGTCCTGTGCCAATTCCTGAGACTCTAACCCTGCCTCTGTTCATCTATCCAAGGGACTGACACGGGGGTTCAGAGGACACCTAGGCCACCAAGGGACTAGGAGACCATGTGGTCCCTCTCGATTGCTGCCACATTCACCGGTCACTCCAGACCTGTGTCTGGTTTATGAGTCAATTGTCCAGACCATTTTATTCTTCAAGGAACAGAATTGAATCTGGTCTACTCACAAATGCCTTCAGCAGATACTCAAGCCCTATGCCTGTTTTGTCTTTAGTTTACTGTAGTTGAGAAGGTACCAAGAGGGGGACACAGCAACACTGAGTGACAGTGAATCTTAACATGAAGTCTTGTCCCTTTAATCAATAGTGGCTGGGTCACGTGCCTTGTCACTAGGCATCAGCTTTGTCCACCACAACACATTAAGTCCATCAATACACGGATAGGTAATGCTCAAAAGATTACTTTCCTCTCTATTTGTGAAGGGCAGGTGATGGAATCTGACAGGAAACCACAGCATATCCCCAAAATGCTGCATGTCAACCCACAGATGATGGAGACACCAAGTGACAGGGGCTGGCAGCCTTCTGCTTAGCAGGTGACAATATTCAGCTGACAGCATTTCTGCTAATAGCTAAATACCAAGCAATCTGATGTATGCCAGGGAAGAGAATGTCTTCTCTTAATCCATTCAATGTTGTTTTTTTTTTTTTTAATTACAGCACAGGATTACTTATCATAAGTTGATTTTATGAGGGAAGTTCTACAATATATAATAATGTCCTAGTATGAAATGGATTTTTCTTTTAAAAAAGGTAAATGCTGTCTGAGATGTTCCCTATCTCACTGGGACACCCAAGCATCCACACTAAGCTGATTTGTTCTAGACAAAAGAAGAAAAACAAATATGAGTTTGAAGGTCACCCTTGTCTGACTTTGCTTAAAAATCCAACTCCCTATAAGCCCTCCTATATCCTCATCCTCCACCATAAAGGCCAGTGTTTGTTCTGGGAAAAGGAAATGCATTCTCCATGTAAAGGAGGCCACTGGAGAGGGACAGTCAGGGAGCCCACAGCACAGAGGCCCTGGCCTGAGAAGACACTGTGAGTCTCCCAGGATGCAGCAGCACTCAAAAGGGTCCTGCATATCTCACAGATACCCAGTGACCAGCCTGCTAGATCAGGGTATACTATGGGGTCTTGGGAGCTTCAGGATTGCCTGAAAATCTGCTCAGGAGATGCGGTTTGGGATGAGGCATCTCTTTGCAGAAAGAACCTGAGGAAAAGCCCCTCCCTTCCCAAGCACTAGGAGGGTCCTGCTTCAGGCTGGCTTCCGGACTCACAGCAGAGTCCTCACCAAGTTCTGGTTTTCCTCCTGATCTCTGACCTTTGAAAACCTATACTCTCTCATATACTCCTAGTTTACAACCAAATCTTTTGATTATAGTTTTTTAAAATAGAAGATGTGATTTCTAGCCTAAAGTAAATATTGATATTTTAAAATCAAACCCTTTTATTTCTCCTTTACATGCCCACGTATGCAGCTCCTTGCCCTCTGCACCCCGGCCGTCTGCTCCCCGCCCCAACCTGCCAAGGCCTCTCTCCAGGCCTCTCACCTGGGCCACCACCATCCTGCCCTCCCACCGCCTGTTACGTCGGAGCCGCAGAGGTAGGGAAGCCCAGGACAGGGTCTGACTCCTACTTGAGAAAAGCTGAGGATCTAAACCAGCTCATAAAGAACCCAGACCGGCGCGCAGAGTCGCGGCCACCCTGCGAGAACATGGCCGCCACCTCACTTCCGCTCCCCTCACTTCCATTTCCGGCAGACATGTGGCGGGCCTTTAGCACTTCGGAAACTCGTCATTCTCGAGCTTGATTCCTCTTCTGGCATGAGGTTTGACCTGAGTAATCTGCTTTTATCTTTGAAAGTCTTTTGTGTTCACCCTACCCTACCTGTCTACAACAAAAAAAGCTTTTACGTTTATTGTGACAAAAAGGCTGTTAATATCTACTGGATTATCTTTCCCAACTCCATGATGTTATAATTATTTAAAAGCATGATTCTGACAAATTGATAATTGTCACACATGAAAACAAAACGTTGGATCTCTTAATGAGAAGTAGGGCTATTTTTTTTTTTTTTTTTTTTTTTTTGTTACTGGGAATCAAGCTCAGGTCCTTATGCTTGCCAGAAAGGGGCTGTGCCGCTGAGCTATATTCCCAGCCCCGAGCTGCTTTTCCAACCAGTGTCCCTCTGCCCAGGAATCAAGATGACCCTGCTCCACTGAACAGGTTCAGCCTCTGCTATATTCAAACTTCATTTTATAGAAGTGTTAGAAAACTTTGCATGAACCTGAAGGAGACATAGTCTTGCAATGTCCCTCCCTTGTGTCTTGAGCTCCTACATAATATCTCCCAAATAAGATGATGATCTGAAATTAAAAACTGCTTAATGCTTTATCAGCTATCAACTCAATTGGGTTTAATTCAAGTGTTTTGAAAGCAAAGGTTTGCAGACTACATGACTTGCAATAGGATTTGTTATCCTGTCATTTTTAATTTCTGGTATATTTACCAGAGAGGCTGCTTCCCAGTTATCAAAGGACTGAAATCTACCCATGATTCTTTGTCATCTTGTTAAACCTTGGTCTGAGGGGGTTGAGGACATTGAAATGTTAATTTCACTGCCTTTTAAACAAATTTAATGTTTTTTGATAAACCACTTTTACACATTTTTAAAATTATTTTCACTGAAACATTGAAGTTGCAGATTTAGTTCATTCTATTTACAGGGAATGTCCTCCACGTACCCTAATCCTTCTTGGCAGACTAGTGAACCAAATACGACACACATTTTCTATCAGAAAATGCCTGACCTACTTTTTCAATTGAAACAAAATGTTACCATGCTTTCCCATGGATATTAAAAAAGAAAACCACTGAGAAATAAATTATAATATACATTTTAGAAGATAAATTATTGAAGGCAAGAGAGCCTTTAAACATGTAGATCTAATATAATTAACTGACCCACTTTATAGTATAATAAAAGAAAATGAGACAATTTGTAACAACTTAATGAAACATGTAGGTAAATGTTCAGGTTATGCACTAACTGAAGAGAATGATAAAAGGCATGTGTTTATTGCTTTCAGATGCTAAACACTAAATAAGTCATTCAAAAACCTCTTTATGTCTGTCTATCATAGTGCTGGGGGTGGAACCCGGGCAGAGGCATCCAGAAAAACACTGTATAACTGAGCAATATTCTGGCCCCTCCCTCAGTGATTCTGGTAAGCATCAGGATCAAATCACCTTTGTGTTCAATGAAAAAAAGAGTACATATGGTTAAGAATTCATGAGCCCAGCAGCTGACACACTGTCATATTGTTTGTAGTATAATTTAACAGTATTCAACTCCACAACAGGAAATAAGGGAAGTGAGTACAGAAGCAAGTAGCCTACAGGACACAGGAAACTGGGGGAGTTAGCCAGCTGACTCTGGGGAGGAAGGCAGAGGGGTACTGAGAGGCAGCCACATTCATGAGTCACACAGTTATCCACCAGTTGATGACAACCACTGTGGTCCTCCTGTTTTTTGGATGAGTGCATTTAACCTAGCTGAGTGAGTCAGATTCTCAACTGAGTCAGTTGTTTTCATCTTAGTTCCAAAATAAACAAGTTATTTGTCTATAACAAGTGCTGCTTTTTACTTTGGTATTTTTGACTTTTCTAAAACAATTTTCTACATTTAATTTTCATTTACTTATAGAAATATCCAGATGGCTGTTTTTAAAAAAGGAAAATAAAATTAAAATCAGTTCAAATCTCATCATCCACAGACCACAACCAGACTCTTCTACATATTCACAGACATAATGCACCCACATTTCTTTAAGACCATGAGGTATAAATACCGCTTGTAACCAATTTCCCACTGTTTATTATGTCTTTCCAAAATAATATAGTCCAAAATATAGTTCTACATTGTAACTTGTCATTTGTTTCATTGCACCTGAATCCCCTATTCTATCTAATAGTCTTCTTGAGGTTCAACATTCTGTCCATGCCCTCCTATCCACATGACCACCACACCCCAGCCAGTAATGTGGGATTGTGGTCATCATCCCTTTTATATGGACAAGGAGCAGCCACATCGTTTTCCTTCACCACACCTTATACATGAGTGGGGTCAAGATACTTTTCAGGAAGATGGAGAAGCCAAGAACCCAAGGTGAGTGAGGGGCCAAGAGACTGTCCCAAGTTGGGTAGGTGTGCCAAACACTGTGCAGCGTCCAGAGGGAGTGAGACCTGCAGTCTCGGTGGCACTTATCCACATCTCCCAAACTATGCCCAGCAGGTTCTGATCCCAGATCTGTCAGCGCAGCCAAAGACAAAAATGCTGTGAGAGGAACAGAAAACCTCGGCAACACCTCGGTAGTGAAACATCTTATTTTTATTGAGAACATCTCAAGTCCTTTGTCTAGGTGCGACAGCGTCTCATGCTCAGCTCCAGCTGGCCTCAGTGTGAGAGGAAGCTCATGCAGGCTGTAATGTGTGTTATATACATAAATATACATACGAGAACACTGAGGATTGTATCTTAGCAACAAGTTTCTCAGCTGAATTACATTCATATAAAGTGTCCAAATTCTAAAATCAAATTAAAAGCATATAACCCAAAGCCTGAAAAAGCAAACAGCTTAAGGGCTTCCTAATGAACATTCCATAGACTGTGCTTTTAACCACTGTGCTCCCCTTAGGAGGAGGACCTCAGTTCCTTCCATACAGTCCCCCCACCAGTAAACAAGAAAGAGCAGGGAGCTGCCCACAGGAGGCAGCTTCTAAACGAACTGAAAACATACACACACCCGCACAACTGAGTCACGGTCACGGCAGACTCCCATGGGCTAAGGGTTCCCTTGCTTCCATTCCCAGCCTCTAGGGAACTCAGGACTCCAGGGCGGACAACGGAGCAGCCCAACCCCCTCCCTGCATTCAGGGAGACTGATTGTCACAGGACACATCAGGGGACAAGGACACAGGGGAATAACACACACCAGACACAAGTCCTCTGCCCTTTCCACAAATATAATTTGGGGGTGATATAAAGGAGATTTTTAATTTAGAGATAGGCAAGTCAGCTAATTTAATTTCTCTTGTTGGATCAAAACTGAGTGTACAGAGGTGGTATTTCTGATGTAAAGTACCTCAAAGGCGAGAAGCGTCACCTGGCTGCATTCATCTGCTCAGAGGCCTGGGCAATGTACAGCTGTCCCTGGAGGTACACCGCCTTCCTCAGACCTGCCACCTGGTGGGGACAGCGGCTGCCTGCCTCGCCACAAGAGGAACTTGGGCTCTGGGGACAAAGTGGTGACTGTAATTCCGGGGAAGTCAGAGCTTTATAAGACTGGGGCCTGCACATTTAAAAACAATTCCTTTTCATCACACAGCGATTTCCCAAACAGGAAAGGGTGATGGAAGATGAAGACTCGGAATCAAACCTGCAGTTTTTGGCATCCTTTGCTGGGAAAGGTGCAGGTGGTCATGGTAGCTAGAAATGGCCAACGTCTACCAGGCCGCCGTCCCCCATCTGGAACAGCCCCAGGTCTACACAAAACATACCCCCCCCCCATAACCTCTCCACCAAAGCAAGCTGTTCCTGAGCCGTCCTGAGGGACAGGGTCTTCATGGAAGTAATACCTTGGGGTTCACTGACTGAACAGAACCGACTGCCCCCGCTTGGCAAGATGCCCTCAACACTTAAAGGGTTTTTTTTTTCCCCTTCAAAATGTCAATTCCCTGGCTGTGTCTGGTTTTCTGTGAAGTCTCTTAAGTGCAGATCCAGGACGTCGGAGCAGATGAGTGGTGATGACGTGATGTGTGAGGTACGGTGCGTCCTGACTGCTCTCACGGACGAGGGCCTGCTTCTTCTCTCTCTTTCTGCAGCTGAGTCATCTCTGTGGTCCTGTCCTGGCAGCAGGGGAGGCGACACCCTGCCCTTTGGTCCCCAGGCCACCTTCTTCCCCCTCCCTTGTGCCCAGGCTCAGGGCTCGGGCCTGAGTTCAAGGGACATTTGCTTTTGGGTTGGGGCTCAATTGTGCACCTTTCTGCTACAACCCAACTGAAGAAACAGCCAGACATACTGAGTGGTTTTGTTTTTATGTATATGGAACACATTTGCACTGGACTTGATATCCAAAATCCACATATTTGGTAAAAACTAAGTCCATCTCCCAATCCCCACTACAAAAAAATACAATTTATAGAGCCAGGAGTACAAGTTTTTCTGGAGCATACTGAGGAGGGTAGCAGCACCACCAGGCCTCTTCCCATGGGTGCAAAGAAGACCCTGGTCCATTTGACCCAAATGAGACTGCACAGTGGCACGTGGGGCCCAAGATCCTGCCAGCCAGGGGCCGCCACCCCAACTGCAGAGAAGGCCAGTGTGCAGGTGCGCTTGCCCCAGACCTGCGCATGCGCAGACAGGGCCCCTGACCCCTGACCTGGTCCCACCAAGGTGACGTTGCCCCTGCAGGCCCGGGGAGTGGTGAGAACCCCAGAGTGCTCCTGTGTGGTCTCCAGATACCCGTGCACAGCTCAGTGCCACGGGCATCAGCCCCACAGGGGCGGCCGTGGTGATTATACTGTGGGGTGGGGTCCGCACCTCTCCGCTCCTAGCCCCCAATTCCTCCTCCTGTGACCCCCGGAGCTCAGGTCGCACTGAGCCGGTGGTTGAGGTGCACGCACCTCTCCCAGCATCTCTAACCCTGAGTGGAAGCTACAAGGCACCTGGTGCAGGTCTTGGGCCCAGGCCCAGGTGGTCACACCGGGCTCCAACTGCTGGGCCGTCCTGTGCCCCGGGGGTGCTGAGCAGCATCCCCAGCCCCCTTGAGATGCCGGCAGCACCTGAGATCTGCCTCATGACATCAACGCCAGACTGCACCTCGCCAGCATCACACCATCTCGCCAGCTCCAGCCTGCGTGCTTTTTAGTTTTCAAATGTCTTTGATAAAGCTAAAAAGAATAACTTAAAAACACGCCTTCCGCAGCACGCTCCGAGGATGAGTGACTGCGAGGCGACTCTAGTTCCATCCTGGGCGCCCTTGGGCCATCGTCCTTCCCGTGTGCAGGTCCCCAGGAGGGGTGGAGAAGTTCAGAGCCCAGCCCTGTTGACAACACCTCCAAAGCAGTGGCCAGGATGGGGATTCTGGATGAGTCTTATCAGGATTACTTGGAGGTTAAGTAAGAGTTTCCATGATCTGATCCCATGGGAGCACGGAGGCCGCTAGCAGGGCTGTGGCAGCAGACAGAGTTGCCACGGGGCTCAGCATGTGCCTCAGGGTCATGTGAGGACACCCTAGTGCTGCCAGGGGACGTTAAAACCTACTGTGTGCGGCTAAGGGTGAAGACCGAGGAGCCAGGCCTTCACCGGACGTGTGTACCAATCCCAGGGGCTCTGTGCGCTACCTCCACCTTCTCACCCTCCTCCGTGTAGAAACCTTTTTGTAATTAAAATAATGTGGCATAAAGTGACCTGACATAATTACTTATTTTATAAACCACATTCCTAACTCTGAATAAGTTATTTATTCAAGAATTTCACACAAAGTAGTTTCTATTTTCCTAAACTTATGGAAGCCCTACTCAGTAGAACTCAACGCCTAACGTAAACTGAGGTTGGAAGCAGTCACTGGGTATGGGGCAGGGGAGGGGGGGGGCAGTGGGCGGTGCTGGCCCCACCTCCCGGTGCCCCAGTTCAGAGTGAGATGCCCTGCACCCCACGTGCTCCCGCACCTGCCCTGGTCCAGGTGTGGGACGCGGGGCTGACACTGGGCCCCTGGACCCCCACATCCCCCAGGTGTGCGCCTGCCCAGTCCAGGTGTGAGGCTTGGGGCTCAGCGTCGGGCGCCCGCCAGGGTCAGGGCGTGAGTGAGAACTGGTCCTGCTCCGTGGGCTTCTCCACCCAGGCGCCCAGCCCTGCCTTGATGAAGGCGGTGAACAGGCGGGCCTTGGCGGCCTGGTACTCCCGCGCCGCCAGCTTGGACTCATGGTAGGTGGTGGGCTTAGTGATCCTGCTGCGCTGCAAGTGCGGGGGGACCTGCAAAAGGACAGCAGTGAGTGGAGGAGCGCGGCTGACGGGCAGCAGAGGAGAAACACACCCGGATGACGCCCGGAAGTGGCGATTAATACCGAGCTGGCTTGGGGGAGGGGCACCCCAGAAGAAGGCGCTCCCTCCGGCCCGCCCACGGGGCGGGGTACCCCGAGGTCGTATGGGGGCCATCCTGGTGCGCAGCCGCCTCTGCCAGGAACACCTCTGGGGCAGACCGGGCTGCAGATGGGGCCTGGGATTGGGCTCCGGGGAGCCACAGGTGCTCAAACTCTCGGAGGCCACCGTGGGGCACACGTGCCCACCTCGGCAGGGTCAGGTCAGTCTCTGCTCAAGTCGCAGGCCAGTGTTCCTTGCTGGCCTCAGTAGTACATAAACATGACTTAAGAATGACTGAAAGCTAACAAAACCTGACTTACTCTATGAGCTTTTATTTGGGGAAAGAGGGGCCTGTGGCTAAAATCAAAGTTTTAAAGCCCTGCATGGAGGGCTTCGCAGAACCTGAGGGACTGTGCTGAGAAGGCCAAGGAGCGTCTGGTCCTTTTTTTACGTCACAGTCATCCAAGCAGCAGAGCAGCTCCTTCCTTGCTCTGGACTTGCTCTCGGGTGTCTCCCAGGGACACGCTGAAGCTGTGTCCCCAGTTGATGGCACTAATGGGAGATGGTGGCCGTGGGGAGGTGGGGCCGAATGGGAGGCGTGTGCCCTTGGAGGGGACACCGAGACCCTGGCCCCTTCCTCTCTCCCGCTTGCTCACATCACACAAAGGCGAGCAGCTCTGCTCACCACATGCCTCCTGTCCTGGGTCTGCCTTCCCACGGGCTGAGAGCCACAGGGCTAGGCAGCCATGGTCCTGAGACGGAGCTAAAATAAACCCCTCCTCCCAGGTGTTTTGTCACAGTGACAGAAGGCTGAGGGGCTCTGAAATTCATGCTGAGAAGTGCGGTTGTTGCTGGGACTGTACCTGACGCTATGGTTCAGAAGCCTCTGGCATTGGTCTGTAAGAAAATCTGGGACAGGGTGGAGAAGCAGGTGAGAGAAAACTTGAAGTTAAGCTCAGTGGGTGATTCTGTTCCAGCCTCAGCAGGAGCAGGCTGATAGAAATGCAGATGGCAAAGCATGTGCTGAGTTTCAGATGGAAATGAGAACTCTACTGGCAACTGTACCACGGGTCCTTGGTGGTACATTTTGGCAAAGAAGTTGTCTAGATTTTGGCCGTGCCCTGAGACTCTGTGGAAGGCCAAGTTCACAGGTGACAGACTAGTCTATTGGACAGAGGAAAGTTCACGGCAGCACAGTGCTCAGGTTGTGGCCTGGGTACTACTGGCTGCTTTTATCAAGATTTGCAGTGAGAATCAGGAGGAAAAAGCAAAAATCAGGAGGAAAAATTTTCCTCCTGAAAATTTGAAAATTTTACAATTTGAAAATTTTACAGGAAAATTTGAAAATTTTACAATTTGAGCAGAAAAGGAATTTGTTTAAAGGCACAGCTGAGGAGGGTACACTTGCTACAGAGTAATAGCGTTAGAAAAGGGCAAGTTCTGGGCACACTGGCGCAGTCCTCTAAGACCAGCTACGGAGGATCACAAGTTTGAAGTCAGCCTGGGCAAGTTAGTCAAATGTTGCCTCAAAACAAAATTTTAAAAAGAGATGGGGATGTAGCTCAGCAGTGAAACACTTGCTTAACACATACAAGGCCCTAGTTCAAACCCCAGTACAAAATAAATAAATTTTTAAAAAGCCAAGTACTTTGCTGTTGCTCTTGGACAACAGGAAAGATGCCTTCAGGGAAGACATTAGCTTTAGGAACTGACAAAACCCTACACATCACAGGCTCAAAGATTTGTGTTCAAGAGAGCCCCAGAGTACCTGCTCACAACTGGTGACCTAGGGAACTCTTTCTCCACAATTTCATTTCTGGGGATTCACTTCTCCAAGTCTAGCCACCCAGAAACACAGAATCCACTGCAGCCATGATCTAAGTGGGCCTGGCTACTGCTCAAGCTGGCAACCCTGGACAACGAGTGTAGCTGTCAGAGTGAACCTAAAGCTGCAGTGGAGACCCCAGGAAAGTGGAGATGCCAGGCATATAGGATGCCTGCCAAGGGATGCTGCAGGCAGCAAGCACAGCCCGCCCAAGAGAAAGGCCAAGTGGGCTGCAGCTAGCAATGCCATAATATCACCACCACTTGCCCCACTCCTGCTCCTGGAGCTACAGGAGTTCCTGTTTGCCGTGTTAAGCTCTGGTCTTGCTACGGTCTGATCCTTCCTCTCCATGCACCCATTCTTCCTTTTTGCAGTTGCAGTGTTTTCCCTGTACCTGCCCCACTACTGTGTGCTACAAGTATGTAACTTTCATTTTTATTTTCACAGACACTCACAGCTTGCCTTCAATCTCAGAGGAGACTCAACCTGGATTTTTAAACAATGCTGGAACAGTTAAGCCTCTGGGGACCCTTGAACATGCACTGAATGTATTCTGCATAGTGAGATGGGCACGAGCCTCTGGGGGCCAAGGCAGCAATGTTATAGTTTAGACCAAAGGCCCATTTGTTAAAGGTTTAGTACACAACTACTATTGGAGCTGGCAAGAACTTCAGTGGGTGGGGCCTCATGGGAGAAAGTGAGGTCACTGGGAGCATGTCCTGGAAGGGGACATTGGGACCTTGGCCCCCTTCCCTCCCTTTGCATCACCACACCCTCCCTGCTGTGATGGTGGCCTCACCACAGGCTCAGAGGCCATGGAGCAAAATGACCATGGACCAAACTTTTGAAACCATAAGCCAAAAGAAACCTTTCCTCCTTGAAGTTAATTTTTCTTAGGTACTTGTCATAGTTATGACATAGAAGGTGACAGTCACACTCCCGGGAAGACCTGGGCAGTGGGTCTTGGATTCTGTGGCAGGGAAGGAGGAAGCTGCCATTAAGACAGCTCTTACACTTGCAAACCCAGGGCCCCGTGTTCAAATTAAAAACAATCTTAAGGAACAAAGAGGCTTTCAAATGATCTCTTAAGGAGGCTGTGCATGATGACGTGGTGATGGAGACCACAGGAGGAACAGGAGGGATGAAGACGGACACGCTGTGGGGAGGTGAGCCGGCGCAGCGCCGGGGAGGGCACCTCAGTACCTTGCCGTGCACACGCATCCAGCGACAGTACAATGCGTGCTTACACAGGCGCGACGCACGGCCCAGCTCGTCCTTCCCCGTTGTGGCATTGATGACCTCGATGGTGGAGTCGCCCACCGTCCAGTTGACGCTGAAGTTGGGCGCCTTCCCCGGCTGCCGTGCCTCTGCGTTGCTGATTCCTGGAATGCAGCAGACACAGAAGGTAACATGAAGCCACGTCCACACCAGCACCGAAGGTCAGACATGGCCACAGATCGTGTGCCAGCAAAGTTGTCTGTTAATATGTGTATCGACTTCAAAGCTGACTACCAAAACAGAAATAATAATGTGGGATTTTTAACATATGCAAACATTAAATGTATGACAACAATACCACAGAGGCAGGGGAGGAGAAGTGTGAAAGTATGAATTATAAGGTTCTTACCCTAGAAGTGAAGGGTGTAAAATCATATGAAGGGAGACTGTGGTAAGTTCAAGATGTATACTAAATTCTAAAAACCTCTGCTACATTAACAACACAGAGTTATAGTTAAAAAGTCAAGACGGCCTTATTAAAATGGGATAGTAAAAGACAATCTGAAAGTAAAAAGAAAGATGAAACAACATATGGAACAAACAAAATGTGTAGCAAAATCATGGATCAAAATCTAACAATATAAATTATCACAATAAATATAAATGGTCCAAGCCCCTCAGAGAAAAGGCGGAGATTATAATTGATGTGTATGGAAGGAAGGGATCCAAATTGTGGTGCCTATGAGAAACATACTTCTAATATAAAATAGTTTAAAATAAGAGGACGTTAACAAGACTTACTGTTTTATCACTAACCAAAACACAGTTGAAGAGGGTACTAGACAAAGCAGATCTCAGAAGAATATTATAAGAGTGAAAAGTCATTTTCTGATGATAAAGGATATTGACTCATTAAGATAGACTAGCAATCCTAAACGTTTACGCATCTAATCACAGAACAGCAAAATACATGAAGTAAAAACTTTAAAAAATTAGGAGGAGAAACAGAGAAGATATAGCTAGAGATTTATAATACCCCTGCCTAATGAACTGATAGACCCAGTGGAAGGTCATTAAGAACACAAAAGACATTACACAATCAGTGGACTTGGCTTAATTGATGTTTACAGACCACTCACTAAGAAATCAACAACAGAAAGATCTCTTTAACCCTGTTCCGCAAGTACTATGGAGCTAAAAAAGCAGGCTTCTAAATAACTCAGGGCATGGGTATTTTGAAAGGAGGGAAAATGAAGACACAGCATATCAGGATTTGTAAATCCTGCAAAGGTTATACAGGAAAGTCTTCAAAAAAAAATGACCTCAGCTAGAATCTCAAAAAAATTGGACAAAGAGTGAATGAAATATCAAGTTAAAAAAGGAACAATTAAAATCTAAGTAGAAATCATTGAAATATACAACAGAAAAGGAAAAAAAAATCAGTGAAACCAAAAGCTGATCCCTAGAAATGACTGACAGAATTCATAAACCTTTAGCTAGACTGACAGGAAGAGGACGAGGGACAGAACAAATCGCTAATACAAGGAATAGAAAAGGTATCACTAGAGATAACATAAATTCAAAATAAAGGAATATTATGACACACCAATACATTTGACAAATTAGATAAAATAGACAAATTTCCTGAAACACATAAATTACCACATTTATTCAAGAAAAAAAGCCATAAAAGCCTTATATTTATCATAGAAATTTAATTTGTATTTAGGTATTTTCTCATAAAGAAAACATCAGGGCTGGGGATATAGCTCAGAGGCACAAGCGCCTGCCTGGCAAGTGCAAGGTCCTGAATTTGCTTCCCGATACCAAAAAAAAAAAAAACCAAAAACATCAGGTCCAGTGACTTCATTGGTAAATTATGCCAAACATTGTAAAAAACATTAATATCAACTCTAAATCAACTTTTCCAGAAAATCAAAAATGAAGTACATCCCAAGTCATTTTATCCCTGACAAAGACACGGGAGGAAAACCACACACCATCATCCCTACACATCACTATGTTATATTTTCTTTTTTCCTGTACCAGGAATCAAACTCACGACCTTGTGCTTGCCAGGCAGGCGCTGTGCCACTGAGCTAAGTCCCCAGCCCCACATCACTATGTTATAGATGCAAAAATTCTACCAAAAATTCCAGCAGCTTGAATTCAACACTATATGAAGAGAACGGTACACACCAACCATTTAAGGGAGATCCCAAGAATGCAGATTGGTTTAATATTTTTTAAAAAATCAATGCCGCCGTATCAACATTTTACAAAATAAACTAAATGACCACCTCAGAGAAGAAAAAAAGCATCTGACAAAAATCTAACATCCACCCTTGATTAAAAACAGTGGTACCTTGGTTCATGAATCTAATTCTTTTCATGATTTCGGCTACAAACTGAATTGGATGGGAAATGAATCAAATTCAATGGTTAGGGACAGTGTTCAACCTTATGGAGAAATTTGTCTGGTTCTCACCCAATTCGGTTTAGAGTCATGGAAGGAATTAGAAAGTCTGTGAACCAAGGCACCACTATACCTTTAGCAGACTAAGAATAGACTCAAACCAATAAAAGCACCAGTGAGAAACTTACAGCTAACATCACACTTACTGGTAAAACACTGGATGCCGCTCCCTGAGGGCACACACAAGGCAAGGCTGCCTACACCCATCTGTCCCCCCACATTGTCACGGGAGGTCCTATCCAGAGCAGGAGTGAAGGAAAACATCTAGACTGCAGAGCAAGAAATAACGAACCACATGACCACTGATAAATAAAACCCAGTGGGATCTACTAAAAAGTTACTAGAACAATACTGCTATAGATTAGTCATGAACAACTAACTGGAAATCTAAATAAAAGTATCACATTTAAAGTAGCATCAGGAATATTAAACAGAGGCACATCTGACACAAGCTGTGTAAGATATGCACACTGTAAACTGCAAACATTGCTGAGAGAAGGGAATGGAGGCATAAATAATGGAGAAACACATCGTTCATCACTGGAAGACTCAAAACCAGTACCATTTTGGTTCTGTCCAAACTGGTCCAGCCAGACTCCAAGTGGATGCTGTGCAGAAACTGACAAGCAGATTATAAAGCTACCATGGAATAAAAGAACAAGGACCTACGTATCTGAGGGCCCTCTCTGACTATGACGTACAAAGCACTACCTTGACCCGATTTCATAACTTCCATAACTACAGTGATCATGACAGTTCTGTCAGAATTAAAATCATAGGGTCTGTGTAAGACAGTGTTAAGAAAGCTGAAACACAAACTAGAGGTTGGGAGGAAACATTTTTAATTCATTTATCTGATACAAGATTTACATTCAGGAAATAAAACAAGTTACTAAGACTCAGTAATGAGAAGTTAATGCAATAAAAATGTGCAAAAGTTTTGATACAATTAGTGAGGAAGGTGCAGGAATGGCAAATTCACAAGTGAAAAGCTAGTTGACGTCACTAGTTAATAGGGAAAAGCAAATTAAGACACAGACTGGCAGTTCTGCAGAGCTCAGCATGTGCTGTCTTATGACTCAGCCCTCCACTCCCAGTGGAGACCTGTGTGCAGGAGCACTGACATGGACAGTCCAGCAGGACCAATCTCAGCAGCTGCTTTGTAAAACTCAGTGTCTTAGTCACGTTCTTCATCGCTGAGACACAATACCTGACACCCAAAACTTAAAAGAGAGGTTTATCTTGACTCACAGTCCATAGCTGGCTGGCTCCAAGGCAGGGTGGCATGGCAGAAGGGCCTGGTGGAGGACAGCTGCTCTTGGCATGGTGAACAGGAAGCAGAGGATGAAGGGAGGAGCCGAGAGGGAAATAAACCCTTCCAGGCCACGCCCCCAGTGCCTGCCTCTTCCAGCCAGACCCCACCTCCACACAGCGAGCCAGCTATGAGCTCCAGGATCCAGTCACCTTCCAAGAGCCCCGCCTGTGAGCACATGAGGCTCTGGGGGACACCGAGATACAAAAGATAACAGTAAGTGACTGGAAACAACATAAACATCCACAGATAGAAGCAGCCACATGCACATTCCCTGCAGCACATTGCTTAGCAGCAACAGGGGTGAGAATACCCATTCCTCTGGCTATTTGTTGAGATAAACCAACTTGCTTTTGAAAACATCCTTAGCATCTCTGATGGGGGCCTTCACCCTGCCCAGGAACTGCTCCTTCTCAGGTTAGTGCCAGCTGACAATGCTGGGAGTCTGGGGGTAGAGGAGAAGTATCCACTTCGGTATGAAGGTGGGGTGAACTTCTGACCATGATGGGACCGCATCTTTCATAACAAATGACTGATGCTCCCGTATGTCATCTTCCTTTGCAATTTCTTGACCATAATGTGACAAAACCAAAGATCACTGCTGAACGACACTTAAACGCTAGGATAGCAGCATTGTGCACTAAAACTAAATGGTCAATTAACTACTAAAATAGAAAGGCCCTAAAAGCACAATTTTAAAAAATATTTCAAGCTAAATAAAGTGCTGGCTTTAGCAAAAATGGAGTGAATAAGGCAAGAAGAAAACAGCTAGCCCAAGGTTCCAACACAAGCCATATGCTTTTTCTGGGGCAGAGAGCCCCGAGTGGTCACGAGCACGCTCTCCACGAGTCCCTGGGGCCGCACACTGGGGCTGACACCGACGGGCTGCTCATCTTCCCGGGCTGCAAAGCGAGAACTAGGGTAATGAGCTGATCCCAGGGACCGTGCAGAAACCAATAAAGGCAGGAGTGAGCCGGCTGGTAATGAGCGTCCCTCAGCTGTTGTAAATTAAGTGTGCTGAATCAGAACTTTTAAAGCAAAAATCCAGAGAAACTGTCAACTGGCCTAAAAAACTGACACAACTGAAGAATGAGATGAGCTGGCACTGACATGTTATCCCACCTCAAAGATTCTTTCTGATGCGTCCCTTACGGAGTAGGGCAATAAGCTTCACAGTCAGTAATAGGTAGGGTTACTGTGGGCTCCTGCTATAGAATTATTAGTCCCCCTAGTACATGCGAATCAGGAAAACCGAGCAGAAGCCGACTGTAAGGACAGCTGTGTGCGTGGCACCTGCCTGAACTGTGCCGCAGGCCACTGATGTGGGCGGGGGGGCTCAGAGTCCCTGGCTTTGCAGGCCAGCTGGGGGCACGCACCTCTGGGACACACATCCTGATGTTCTTCATGAAAGGTGACCCTGAGCTGACAGGAAAGGTGACCTCCAGCCCAGACTCAGGGCTGATCCCCAGCCTCTGGAGCTGGCTGTCCAGAACTGAAGGCTTCCCACAGAGAAGCACTGGCCACTTCGCCTCCGAGCAGGGCTTTGAACATGCAGGTGCTGCCTCCAGGGGACTGCATGGCCCTCCCCAGACTCTGGAGGCAGGAGGGAGGGTGCTGGGCCTTCCATCCTTAGGGGACACACACACGCACACACGGAACCCCAGCGTGTGCACTGTCCTGACAGGAAGTGGCCGGGTTTGGTGCTGGGTTTGGGCCTGGCTGGTGCTCTGGGCAGGGCAGTGACCTGCTGCAGCACATCCAGCCTCTCCTGCGAAGAGGTAGTGCTGGCCTCACCAGCTAGGCGGGGACTCCCAGAGAGATGTGAAGGTTGGCTGAGTGGCTGAAAGGCACCCCTGTGCCCTGGAAATGAGGTGGAGATGGTATCTAACAGGGCCTGACAACTGTCACTCAAATATTTTAAAGGTGTTGTCAATAAAATAGATAACCATGGCTCCTGTTAAAGTCACTTCCCACAAAAGAATTTTTAAAAGTCAGAGCCGCCTTCCTAGGGCTGCCCAAATGCCACTCCCTACACTGCCTTGCTTGCTTTTGTTTTGTGACAATGCTGGCATCAAAACCACCACTTCACTGCTACGCTGGTGAAGTGACGACAGAGAGCCCAGCCCAGAGCCCTGGAGCAGCCAGCTGTCACCGAGGCCCTGTCACAGGTGTGGGGACAGTCAGCACCACTGGCCTTTTTTCCTGCATCCTCGGTGAGCCAGGGACCCAGAGACCCAGCGACCCACAGGGGTCAGCCAGATGCTGGAACTGCCCGAAACGTGCAGTGTGAAAGGGGACACGAGGAAGCAGGAGAGGTCACCACCAGGAGAGGCGCCTCACAGCAGGGCCCAGGCCACAGCCACCCTGGAAACGCATGTCTGACCACGCTGTGTTTATGCTGAATTAAAAAGTAAGTCTTGCCATTTCAACCTGGGGGCTGGAGAGGGTTGTTCTCCTCCAGGTGACTGTTGGAACTGCACAACTGTGAAGGACCCCTGTGAAGGGCCCCACTGCTTGAGGCCGGGCTCACCGCTGTGCACAGACCAAACTGAGGCACGTAGGCTGCCACGCAGCAGAGCTAAAGTGGGGTGTGCACGGAGGCTTGGCACATCCCCCAGGCAGTGCATCCTCAGAGGAGGCAGCAGATCAAGGCGGGACTGCAAAGCTAAGCGCACACCAGTGCGGGCGCTGGGGATGGAGATCGTTTGGGGGTGGGGACCTCATTACAGACTTGCGCTCCCCCAAATCGTTCACATGCAATACTGGCAACATTAGGGTCTGTCACACCGACGGGGTTTCATTACCATTTACAGATACATACAGTTTGTCCCTTAAGCCCTGACGGAAACCCTTCCCCTCTGCACAGCAGCCGCAGGTTCAAAGCCTCAGCACAGAGGCTACGCTGGTGAACTGACGACTTCTCGCAGATCTTAGCTAAGGACCAGATGCAGCGCTCAGGCAGGCCCTGAGGAACAGCACCGTGGCATCTGCCGCACGCCATGCATCACACCATGTGTCAGGGTCCAGGAAAAAAGTCACGGTGACGCTTGACACTAAGCCCTTGCCAGGGATTGGCTAGCTTTGAGTGTGTCTGCAAGGTGCGCTGCTAGAGGCTCAGTCCTTAGTGCTGCTGGTGAGGGTGCACCCGCAGAGGTGGCGGGGGGAGGCGGCGGCCACTGGCTGACCTTCTACACCGGCAGAGGGGTGCAGGGGCACGGTGGCTCACCGTCCTCACTAGGGGTTAACGCAGTTCCCAGGCATGTGTTCCGTTCTGGGGAGTCTCAGCTGTCATCACAGTGACCCTGGGCCCTCCGGCTCCCCAGTCACCTCGTGAGATCTTTCTGCACGTGTTCCTGCCGTTTGGGCTTCTTCCCATTTCCCGCAGGCCCTTGCGCGTGGTAACCAGGTGTGTCGGTCCACTGAGACGTTCAGCCTCCAGTGCTGTGAGCTAAAAATACCTCTTTCCTGTATACCTTCCCATCCTCCAGTATTTTGCTATAGCAACACAAAATGGACCAGTAAAGCACTGCTCCCACAAATCTAGTACACAGAGCCAAGCGGGTAGTTTGCTCTCTGGCCCACAGTAAAGGATGCGCCAACACCCAGGACTCCAAACGGCAGGGACGCTCCCAGCTCACGCATCCCCATCGGTTTATCGGGCGACTCTTTTTCTCAAAAGAATCACAGCAACAGGGGCCGTGACTTCCCTGGGACACTGCTTTCCCGGGCCCTGTGCACGGCCGGCGCCATCAGCATGTTTCCCATAAACTCCACGCGGCTTCCTCTCCAGCTGAGACATGCTGGTAGCCAAGCACGGGACGAGGCCCAGTCCACACGCACCAAAAGAAGCGTGCTTTAGTGTAGCATCACGTTTTTAGTTTCAAGCTCAAAAAATGTCAGTAAAATGTTATTTTTCAAAAGGGCAAAAAAAATACCTGAACTGTGTCCTTTTAAGTATGGGTGGGCTTAGAAGTTAGGACCCTTGAATTCAAGAGCTCCTGTTCAGTTTACTGTGAGGCACTGAAACGCTAAAAGAAGAAAAGAAGCCAGTAGTAAGGCGCATACAGGACGGGAGCAGATGCCCCTGGGGAGGATTCCGGGTGGCTGCACGTGAGGATGGGCGCTCGGTCAGCCCCTGCCCGGTAACCCAGCCACGCCGACGCTTCCTACTTTTCGCAGCGTCTCTGAGTCGCTGCCACCAAGGCCGGAATGTGCGCAATGTGCAAATGGGGAGACAGAACCACCTGGTTCTTCTGCTCTGCGCAAGGCCCTTGCTCCTCCAGCGGCCTCCTCGCCACGCCCTGCAGCCCGCCCCAAGGCCCCTCCGGTTGCGCGGCTCTGCGGCCGCCTGGCATCAGGCCAGCCGAGGGGTAGTGAGCTCACTAGGCCTGGGAGGACGTGAGCGCTCAGGGCCCGGGGCGGGGTGACGCGCTGGTACTTGCCGCTGAGCAGGGGCTTGTTGAGGGTGTAGAGAGGCGGCAGGTCCTCTATGTTGGAGATGCGCTGGTACATGGCCCGGGAGAGGTGGTCGCCGTGGTACAGGCTGCCCAGGATGATGCTGGAGAAGTAGATGGGCTCCACGAAGATGCTGAGCAGGGACCCCTGGATGCCCACCACGTTCCAGCTGCAGGGAGAGACACAGGGTCAGAGGGCGAGGCCGCCGACAGCCCTGTGGCACGCTGGCGAGGCCACCGGACGAGCAACCAGCTGACCTGGGAGCTACCATGTCAAGGAAAAAAACCAGCCTTAAAATGAACCTGTGAGAGACTCTGGGCCACTGTTCTTCCACGCTGACACGCTGACGGAGGCTCTTTCCCAAAGCGCTCCCGGGGGGCCACGCGTGCTTCCCCAGCAGGGCTCCCGGGAGAACGCATCTTTATCAGCTCTTCCAGGAGTCCCTCAAAATGGGCCTGGGCTTTCCCTGCTCCCTGAGCTCAGCCCTGGGAGCCAGCCTGCCTCGGAGGTGTGAGGAGCTTCCTACCACACACGGGACAACAGCGGGGGCAGCTGCACTGACTCGCTGGTGACGGAGGAGGGATGCTGAGGTGACGTGTATCACCCCAGTTATTCAAGAGGACAGCACCGCACTGCACTCGCTACTGCTCAGCCCCACCGAGTGAGGGACGCCGCGGCTTGGGCGCCGCTGCGCTCCAAGCCCCTGCTCCGTGCGGCACAGGTGACTGGGGATACGGGACAGACGAGGGAAGACACAGCTGGGTGTCAGCAATAAAGCAACAAAAAGGCCAACAATATGTGAAGGGCCGCCTTGAGGTCCCATCAACAGGAATGTAAGGACAGGTTTCTGTGAGACAGAGAAAGGGAGTCCTGACCTCAGAGGAGGCTCCGTGGGGTGAGCCTGGGGCGATGGCCTCACGTGGGGCTGAGGGAGGAGGTGCCCTCAGCCCAGGGATGGTGCATACAGGACAGGATGGGAGGGCCACAGAGAAGAGGCCGGCAGGAGGCCAGGCGCAACTCCGAGGCAGTGGCCGGGTCCCACATGCCACAGGCGTCCCAGGGTAGGGGCCGACCAGGTGCACATTTCAGAAAGGGATGGCAGCGGAGCAGGACGGTCACCGGCACAGGGCTGGGTCCCAGCTGCAGCAAAGGTCAGAAGCAAGGGCTGCGGTGGCAGGGGCAGAGAATCGGGGAGACGCTAGGAACAGATTCGGAAAGTGGGGCCTCAGGACCAGCAGGGGACTCGGACCTCAGGACATGCCGTCTACTCTCCCTGCCTTGTGATGCCCAGAGCGGCCCAAGCCGTGGCCCCCACCCCAGACTGCAGGGGGAGGCGCGTGCCTCATGTGCCTCGGAGGTGCGCCCTGCCCTCACACTCACACTCGCACTCACATTCGGGATCGACAGGGAGGACTGCAGCTGCTCACACTGCAGCCAAGAGGGTGCAAAAGACTTTTAAAACTTAGGATTTGGGGCCAGGGCTATAGCTCAGCGGCACAAGTGCCTGTCTGGTGAGCATAAGTCATGAGCTCAATTCCCCGTACCACATTAACATAAAAATGAGGATTTTCTTCTTCCAGAGATAAAAGTGTTTCTCCAAACTTCCTCATGCTGAGGGCCACACTGCCATCCCCTCCTCTGTCAGAAATCCAGCTGAAGGACACTTACAGATGCTGGTCCAGGAGGCTGGACTCAGTTTTGTCTCCACGAGGGAAGAGAGAAGCCAAGCACAGCCAGGGGCTGGAACTACATGGGAATTCCCTCTCGGCTGCCTCACTGTACCCCTCCTCTTTCTCCTCCCAATAAAAGCCCTTGCACACCTGAAGGTGGCAAGGTGGAGACCGAAGGCCATAAAGGGCCTGTCTCCTCTGCAGCTAGCTTTGAAGAAACACTTCCCTTTCCACCAAATCGAAAGGCCTCCCGCGTTTCTTGGAAGCAGCAAGTAGTATGGACCTGCGCAGTTAGAAAGTTTCGGCGAGCCAGCCAGCGAGAGGCGCAGCTCCTGAGCAGGGAGGTCTCCTGGTTCCCAAGGGAGGAGGGTGGCGGTCACGTGGGAGGGTGGCTCAGTGCTGGTGGCAGCTGAGCCCACAATCAGGACTGCAGGGCCATCCCAGCAGCTGCCAGGACACCCTGCCCCCAAGTAACTTTCCCTTCTTCCCTATCTATGGCATCAGCTATCTGTAAACACTTATGCTGAAAGAAGAAAAGGGTTTCTGGGGAGCTGATGGGCTCCCCCTGGATGTTCCACTCCAAGTGTACACCAGGGGCCTTAGATCTCCCCCGCTTTGGGGCTCATGGAGCAGCCCGGGCCTCTCCACAGTAGTGGCTGGCATGAGGGAAGGCACCCCACCACTGGGCCTTCTACAGGTCATGCTGGGGTACTGACTGGAGCAAGAAAAAACACTCCAGGAAAGTGATTTTGTTTGGAGAATATTCATTTGGTTTTGGTTTGGCTTGGTTTTCCCTTGTCTCTCTCATAACCAACTTTATTTCCAAGACAGGCAGTAGGGTTTCAATATCATTTACAAGCCCTCTAGAGGTGTCACATACAGCTGGACAGATCATAGCCAGGCCTCTGTGACAAAACAGGCTGATATGCCTACCACTGCAACACTGACGGCTTGAATGTGCCTTTTTTTTTGTTTTTTTTTTCCGGTACCGGAAATCGAACTCACAACCTCGCGCTTGCCAGGCAGGTGCTGTGCCGCTGAGCTAAATCCCCAGCCCCATGAATGTGTCTTATATTCTGAAGAAACGTCACCTGACAGTTCTTTACTGTATAACTGCAATATTTCTGTCAAAAACAGGTAAAGGGGGGGGGAATCCACAGATATAAGCATTTACGCATTGTGTAATAAAGACTGTAAAAGAAGAGAGCCAAATCAATGGTTTAAAAAGAAGAGAAAGGTTTTAAAACCCACAGCAAAACACTTTAAAAACTGAATAAATCCTATGGAAAGGCAGACTAAAAACACTTCTGTTTTGCTGTGACTTTTGTTTTGTGTGTCACAGTAGCTAGGACTTATCTGGTCTGTCAATCTGATTTTTTACGTGGTTTAAAGCTAACAGTTTTAAGAAATGCTGAAAAGGTTTGCTTGTCCCTCTGCAACAGATAAACTGCTACTGTTTTCTCTAGTTTATTTTTTAACTTGGGGAAAATAAATCTCAGAAAGTTACAGTTTACTTAGGTATCATTTACTTTTTTATAATTTTGGTTAAACTATTATTATATGTGATATGACTTATTTTTAAATATTAACTGTCCAGGTATAATGTAGTCAATCATAATGATTGTCTCAATATACTTTAAAGGCAACTACATTCTTTTTCTAGGTTGCTATTGTACATTACGTAAGTCATTTAGCTGGTAAGGGCTATGCTCCTTTTAGTTAATAAGAGACAATCTTACTTTAGGATAAAAATACATATTTCTAATTGGTAAATAGCTACCTTGTAGTTTCAAAACTTTTGTAGTTCTGTTATGTGTACCTAATAAATTCTAAAGGTGTTACTAAACTCAGTGATTAAAATATGATTAAATAGTTCATTTCTTCCCAAATATTAACTCACATTAGTTTTCAGGGAAATGACTCTAAAAATATGCTTAATGTACCTTTCTGACAGAACCCAACTTGTTTTATAGACAAAATGGTTTTTTTTTTGTTTGTTTGTTTTTGTTTTTTGTTTTTTTTCCGGTACCGGGAATCGAACCCACGACCTCACGCTTGCCAGGCAGGCGCTGTGCCGTTGAGCTAAATCCCTAGCCCCCAAAATGTTTTTTTTTTGACAAAAACTAGACTTGTTTTACTCTTTTTAGTTGAATATTAGCTTATAAATTTTCTAACTATTGCCTGCAAAGTTGTAATATTTTTTTAATTTTAAAAAGAATTTAAAAAATAAATGATACAGAATTTCAAAGCAAGATGATAGGAAATTAGCAATGATTATTATATTGCATATTGTTATCTTCAAAGTAGTTGCTCAGATGACCAGATATAGGCATGAAAAATTAGTCAAATAATTAGGCGTTAACTGTTCCTTTCAATAAACCAACAGAAATTGGTAGTACAATTATCTTAGTTATCCTCTTGTACATACATATATGTTTTTTTCCCCTTCCTTCTTTATTTCTTTTCTCCTTTCCCCCATCCTAGTTGTTCTTTTTTTTGAGCAGTTTCTTTCCCTTTCACAATACCTATTGTAGCTTTCGGATTTTATTTACTCTTTCAGGTTCTTACACTAGGGAGACAGTACAATGTTTACACGTGTGGGTCTAATTGACAAAGTTGTAACTTTTTAAGGTGTTAACACCTACTAGGTAAATGAAATTGAACGTGGACTCTTTGTAAGTCTCTCATTTTTCAAATTTGGCTACAAAGGATTTGGGCACGGCCCCGTCCATCACTTCCCTTCCAGTGTGGGGCCCAGTATGGCTGAACACCACCAGGAAAAGCTATCAGCTCCAGGGAACAACATCCCACAGCTGGGAACTGGTAATGTCTTCAGAGAAGAAAAAAAGGATTTGGAGACAGTGCCAGCCAGATGGCACTGCACTTCAAGGCGCTCAAGATTCAGGGCTGGATACCACATTAAATGGGGAAAAACTGAGAGCTTTTCCTCTAAAGTCACAAACAAGACCAGAATGTTCACTATCACCCCTCCTGTTCAACACAGTCCTTGACATGTTAACCAGAGCGGTCAGAGAAAGAAATAAAAGCGACACATATAGGAAGGGGCAGAGTCAAATTTTAATTATTTGCAAATAACATGATCCTCAACTTATAAGACTCAAAAAATTCCTCCCAAAGACTCCTAGGATTGAAAATCAAATTCAGAAATGTAGCAAGATGCAAAATACACAATACACAAAAATCAATAGCATTCTTACACACTAATGAACTCACTGGGAAAGAAATTGCAAATACCACCAGTATTTCTCACAGATATACAGAAAACAATCCTAAAATTCATATGGAACCAGAAAAGACCCAAACAACAAAAGCAATCCAGGTTTGAAGTTATACCACAAAGCCACTCTAATTAAAACCACATGGTGCTGGCACAAACACAGGGATGTGGATCAGTAGGACAGAAAAGTGGGTACAGAAACAATACTAGGCACATTCAGTTATTTGATCTTTGACAAAAAGGCCAAAAATACATTAGAGG